AATATATCTGATAAATTACAGAACTAGTTAGTAAAATCTAACAACCATATAGTAAATCGTAAATTTGCAAAATATCAATCCATCATATCAAACTGGACTGTTCCTGTTGCAAACATTAATCGATCGTCTGAAATTTAATTATTCATGCGTTCTCATACAAATTCCATTGTGTTCCCGCTCTTCCTTTCTTGATCTTCCACCATCTTCTGCTGCCAGACATTACGATTTTATTTCGCGTAATATACTACTTATATCAATATAAGTAGCGCACACCACAGTATCACCGGATAAGTAATAATGTGGTTAGGTGCAGGATATTATGGGATAATGATGAATCAGTTATGGATCTTCCCTGACCGAGATGGTTTGGATACATGTAAGGTGAACACCGATTACACGACGCGCAATGCTGACTAGTGTTGGAGACGGTCGGAAGAAAGTTAGGGGCGGCCAAACCAAAACGCGGCATCAGTCCTTGAAGTCACTAATTTCTGATCTGAGCTACGTCTGTAGATGCAGACTAATTGTTTGGGGTTCGCTCAACTATCGTAACCAATGATTGAAGTTTCTGTGCGACTTCGCTGAGAAGCAATCACAATAGCGTGTGTGTATACACTCTTTGTCTCCGCTTAAATCGTGATATTAAAATTAATTTATACGTTTCTTTCTAATTCTTTCTTCGTGTATTGTGTCTTTATGCAGTATTTTTCTTTTATATATTTCTACCATTGAAATAACTGCTTCTATGTATTTGGTGTCCATCTTGTACTTATGAGATGTGGCAACTTGCATATGTGCGACTTGTTCTACGTTTTAACTGACTGTCTTTGCACCTGTCTTTATATGGTAGGTCTGGTATGAGAACACTTGCAAAGTAATGCTATACTTTGTCAATTTTGTATCAGCCAATGGAACGCTTGCAACTGAATATAATTGGGAAGTATTCTGATAGTGGCCGAATACATAATTTATAGAGCGTTATTTTTTATTCCTTTAGGTGGAAATTACGGTTATTAAACCCAGTGAGTGTACGGGCGTTAGATTCTTGGAATGTAGGTTGTTTGGTGAATGAAAAACTTTTGAAATATTTCATTCCTAAATCGCAGATACTAATTAACTGTCCGAATTCCAGCTCGTTCAGCTACCAGCTTATTTGCGGATTAAACGTGCCAAAATAAATGTACCCAGATTTTTCGGTATTAAGAGAGAAGAATCGTATATCACATCAGTTTTGAAGTCTATCCAGATCTTTTTGTATTATACAGCTAACATTGTACGATGGGGTAACGTTCAAATTCGTTTTTTGTAATATATTTGGAATTCTTTGTTATAAATTGTGTCTTTGTGCTCATATCAATATATGACGTAATGATACCGCTAATTAGAGAACAGTGAATTATCGACAGGACCAATGACGCATAAAATCCATACGAGTAGTCTAAAGTTTTTATCGGTCCCTCCAGAACACCAATCTCAGCCTCTACGATATGAATCATGTATTTCAAGCATACTGAGTTTATATACAAACTAAACATACCACATCGCACCACAAAATAGAAAATAGCATTTGCACACAATCTAGCCCAAAGTGGCTGTGAATGTGGGAGACTGTAATTAATAGACAGGATAGGACTCCAGAACGGTAAATCGTATAATAATAGTCTATAGGTTAAAATAAAGCTTATAATAAGGGGAACATGAATATGCAGAGTTTATTTACATAACGATTATATAATAAAATATATGTATCATGTTGGTTCATAAATAGTCTGGCACAAGCTGGTGGCTATTTGGACTTAGCAGCTAAGTGGATAAGGCGATGGCTTTTGAGGCGGACGGTACTGGGTTCAAGCCCTAGAGTAAACGCAGGTACACCCAGATGACGAGTCCTAAATGGGATGAAATGCGCATCCTGGATTCCACTGCTAGCCACCATCCTTCTTTGCTTATAATGCTTGTGGCTTAAGGCAATATTGAGGCAATCCTCACAGCATGTACATATGCCAATAAGAGACTGTTCAATTGGATTCCTAAACATCGATGGAAGATTCAAACAAACAATACAAAAATGAATTATAAGTACGAATGTACAGCTTAAGCAAATGAACTTGTCGAAAGGAAAAATTTCCTTGTTGAATTCTTCGAATGAAACCCTGCCTTTTGGAGAAATTCTCTCATTTTCGAACAACGAGAAGGGTACCACGCTCATATGATTTTGAGATGGTGTACCAAACCATTCAGCTCAGAGAACAAAACTCCATCAAAATCACTCACCCGAGCTACAAATCTTCTCCACCATCTCAAGAAAATTAATATGTTCATGTATAATTTCTATAGTTTCTTCCAGTGGGATTGAAGAGAATAATGATGACACATCAAACTAGGCTAAGAATTTATCGGCAATATTAACATTTTCTAGTACGTTGTCAAATTGAAAGGAACATTTCTGACATTATGATATAAAGTATGTGCACTGAATTTTAATGGTTAACACCATTATGTTAGGGTTGTATGCAGCTGATGAGAAGCCACAAAATAAAATGAATTCAGGTTATTTTCCTATGTTTATTGTTTTTGTTTATTTAATTTCTTTACTTTACCCAATAACAACAGGTAGAACCTTTTTCGTTATGTTTATCAATTCTAGACCAGTTGATAAAAAGACTATTGTTCAATCGTTAAACAATGAGTTTTGACATCTTTGAAAAAAGCAGTACCAAAGGAACTTATTCAAAATTCTTGAATCGGTTAAACTTAGATACATGGTGTCATGTAATTTCAAGTCTTTGAGGTATGTTTGAATTGTTGTAAACTGTTCTCTGTAGCTAAGTAAATAACCTGTTGGCATTTGAATTGACTGGTAATGAGGTCGAAGTTTAGTGTAAACAATAAAACTTGGATTTAGACCCATCCCACTGACGAGCACCAATATAGAACGAAATAAGTATCCGGATTTCACTACTAGCCATAAACCAAATACATTGAATCTTAATATCTTTCTCAAGCTATTGGTTAGATATATCTTCAATAAGATAATCAGGTTAATTAACATAATGTGAATAACTCTTCACCAACTCGCTGGTGTTAATTGAATGGTGAATATCGCTTACTGATACAACAATAAAAGTTATTTTTATTAATTAAAGAATAGTGATTTTCAGATCGATGTATTGACTTTCTTTATAGGTTTGAAACTGCATAAATAGTGACTTCTTAAATTATGCGAATTAAAACAAATTTTTAGATGCATTGTATGATATTAATTCAACAACTACAAATCTAATATAATGAGTAGTAGTTAATTTTTTTTAAACTGCCTCTGTTTAACGTAATATTTTAAAGTAAATACTGGTAAAAGCTAAAGGATATGAACTCAGTGGAGAAGATTTGCAGCTCAGGTGGATTATTTTGATGAAATTTTGTTCTCTGAGCTGGATGGTTTGGTCGTGGAGCTTTCATCGTTCTTCTGAACGACATCCATCAGCACAAACTTCAGACAGAAGTGAAGTGTTCGAGTTTCTCCACATGTGGTTCACAGCTTGTCCTGTACACACTTATAGCACGAAAAAATGAAGGAAAGTACTTTAAGACTATCAGGAAAATTATGCACAAATATAGGAACAAAAATCAAACCAATGGGAGATACAACCAATACAAAGAAGTAAACAATTACAGGTTTAAAGTCAACAAGAACCAATCAACATCGAGGTATACAGGATAAGCTGTGAACCACATGTGGAGAAATTCTAACACTTCACTTCCATCTGAAATTCGTGCTGATGATGTCGTTCAGAAGAACGATGAAAGCTCCATGATCAAACCGTCCAGCTCAGAGAACAAAACTCCATCAAAATATGATCTCAGTCTTATATGTATTAAACACTACTTTTTTTTACTTCACACACTCGTTAACACAAAGATATTGTTTCCCCTTATTATAGGAGTAAAAGTGAAATCTTGTATTTCAGTTTATTTCTGTATTTGTTTATATTATTTGGCATGAGTATAACAAAGTCATTAAAGTAACTTATATCCCACTATTTCATTAGAACCATAAATATTATCTTCTTACTTTAATTTACATAATGAGGGATTCTCTTTTGCTGTTACATGTTGTGTATTTAAACAAGATACACAAGTCCGTGGTCTGTCAATATTAAAACAGTATCATTTAGTAAATGAGATTTGATTATTCAACTGGTTCGTCTCAGTGAAATTCTCATTTAGACCATATTTTCGAATCAAATAATCACAAATCATATCATTAAGGTGAAAAGAAATTAATAAAATGCGATGGTACCCCAAAACACAAAACATAAATGAGATATTTCTAAGGAATCGAACAGGAGTGGATGATGAAAAGTTTTTATGCCATTTATTATGTTTAGTGATTAACCGAAATTAACTCACTAATTTTCTTTATGACTTATTTTTGAGTTACACATTTTTTTCTTCATAAGACTCTTAGTGAATTTTATATTTGTACAAAATTAAAATTGAGCTTATTCATCGACTGTTTTCTTAGTAAACTATTGTCAATGATTAAAGTAATTATAATTTGATAGTCTATATTGTTAAAATACTTAGTCAACCTCAGCTTATTATTAACCTCGTCATGTTATGGTATATACTACTATAAATCAAATAAAACGATTTTACATTGTCTATTACGGTTGAAGAAAATAAAAGCGTACATCAATCAATAGAATATATATATTGATCTAAAAAAAATAACATACGTTTGTTTAAAACATTCGATTATTATTTATCATTATTCCCACGATTTGTATAAATTTGAATGAAGGGAATTGTAGTAAATATGTAAAGTTTATCTATATATTATTGATTAATTAATTTAAAGTCTATTTGAGATCATATATATATATATATATATATATATATATATATATATATATATATATATATATATATATATATATATATATATATATATAAGCTTTACTTTCCCACAGATGAAAGGGAAACTATTAGAAATAAGGATGAGTTTGTTAAATCCAAATAAGATTTCAAGTGATAAAGCTCTATCAAAATATTTTAACCAACCTAATGTAACTTTAGGTAAGTAACACAAAAGATACTTTAATGTAGAATTGTGATCAATTGTCCTAGAAACATCATTTGTTTTTGTGATAAAGCTTGTTCTTAATCTCTATATATGAGCTTATTATTGTTATAAGAATAAAATTAATTATTTTCCAAATTTTTAAATAAAATTACAAAATGGTAACTGTTAAAATGAGTTGAGAGAAGAAAAATAATAAACTCGGTTAGCTTTTATTTAATTAATCATTTATTATTAAACAATTGTGTTAGTACTTATATATATAGTCCCGATGGAAAACTATCTTCTCGTGCATTTATTGTTCGTGGATTTGGTAAAGTTAGACATTAACACTGTTGGACACCTGCTCAGTGGTCTAGAAGTTAAGCGTTCGCGAGCGAGATCTATAGGTTCTAGTTTCAAATCCCGCGGGAGTAATCGTGGACGCGCATTGCTGCGGAGTCCCATACTAGGATGAAACAGCCGTCCAGTGCTTCAAAGTTTTCTATGGTGTTCTAGTTTTAAATGGTTCATGAATTCAATTATTAAATTTGTTATTATGTTGTCTTTTACCGTCCCTAAATTACAGTTGACTAATTATCAATGCGCTTATCATCTATGCATAAAAAGCATCTCACCTATGTAAATAATGATTTTTATGATTCTAGTGTTTTACAGCCTCAAATTTCGCTTTTTATTTTATTGTTATTAGTTATATTTGATTAATAAAGGGTACTTCTAGTCTTCTAATTGGAGATTTAAAGAATGAAAATTTACGTGATCTATCGATCATACTATGAATTTCATAACGACATAAGAAGATATATTGTGTCACAGGCAAGAACGGAATGAAATACATGCATTAACAGATAGGGTTTGATTATAGGGACAACTAAGTAAGTAGTTAAGGCGTTTTGAAATAAAATGAAACTATTGTGACGTAACTTTCACATGACTTGTTATTAGTGTAAACTTGAAGTTAAGACTAATTATAATTTTTCTATTCAAGGATAATATTTCTGGAGATAATATATTCACTAGTAACTATCAAAACACGTTATTAAAATTTGATATTATCTACCTAATACCTCTACGTTCATAACTGATAAGCGCATAAACATCGTGATTTCGCATACAACAAGCAGGCTATGAAAACCTTTAATTCGAACAATAGAAGTTCAAATACAGGTAAAATGCCATACTGCAGTTTACCATAATCTTTTAGAGAATAGCAATTGTATAACTAAGGCACGTTCGGTAGAAAACTGAATAACTTATTTATGATTACTTATTTGGTAGTTTTTAAATGGTACGATATATAACAGTAAATAATAGGACAGAAAAAGCTTACAATTAGGACTTATAAATACCAGTTTTGATAAATATCCTTGAAATATGCAGATTAGTACACTAAATAAATGCTGAACTTACACGATTCCTTTTTATCAGGCTACATTTCCCACTAGTTGATTTACTGGTTTCAAGAAAGAATATTATATAATACTAATGCATACCAAAATAACTTAATTTCGAAATAGTCGAGAAGAATCGTAATAAATCAAGATGTCACAATTAAAAAAACAAATGAAGTTAAGAAAAGAACGTTTTCGAAGATTACTAGGTCACAAACTCGGAAGAAAGAAAAGAAGGAATATATTCATTAAGTTGAAAATAAATCATCTAAGATCTTTCGTCGCAGACTTGGTTATTTGAGAAACTGAGAGTAGAAATTCTGTGCCTTCTGATACAATATAGGGTTGTGGAGATTATTAAGTTTTTGATTGAGATCATGAACCGATTGATGCTAGACCACTATTGAAAACCTTCTGATACAGTTAACGTTTTCAATGGATGTCTTAAATTCTTGATGTGGTTAACTTTTTATTTACAACTAACTATTAATAAGATTTAATTTAATTATGATCCATATATGGATAATTTTATATATGAAATATATATATATATATATTCTTAAAACTTAATTTGTAAATTTTATTTAATTAAAAGGAAACGGTACATTCTTCTCAAATTATAGTGATGATTTAAATAAAATAATTAAACATGTAACATTGAAAATCGACGTATCGCATACAAATCATAGTCATATAATTGGTCGTTATGGTTGGAATATTAAAACAATCATGATGATTACCCAATGTCGTATACATTTTCCAGATTCAAATCGTAATAGTTCAATCATTAAAAGTAATCAAGTTTCAATATCTGGTCAGTTGGAGAATGTAGAGAAAGCTAGAAGAATAATTCGAGTATGTTGAATTGTTTACATCTTTTTTTTAAAAAAGAATAAGATACTTATGACTGATTAATTTGGTTATTTAATATACTTTTTTTCAAGGTTAATTTTTATTTTAATTAGATGTGTTTATTCTATCTTTAACTTATTCAAGTTATTAGAAAATAATGGTGTTGATTAATCAATGAACCGTAAGAAATGATATCTAACTTATCAACTATTCAGTAGATCTTTAGTGAAAATATCTCCAAGATATATAAAATCTTTTACTAGAAAAACAAATAATAAACCTACGATCTCAGTGATAACTTCATCCCAGATAGATTTAAGTAATAAATAGTTTATATTGTGAGAATGATTACAGAAGCCATATCGATTTGCAAGAATGATCAGGATGATACAGAAAGATATGTAACATGTAAATAACATAGATACAGGGGTAAATTACTTGAAATTATATTGTTCATAAATTGTTTTGAAAGGACACTTATATCAGGAATTAATTATATGAATGTGAAGCGATAGTTGGGAACCAGTATTTTTTTAATAGGAGGACTAGGAAACCCCTAAGAGGCATGATTAATGTATCGAAGAGTGATCACAGTACCGTTAAAGAGTATTTATAATCGTTTACATCTAGAGGGGAGAAAGTATGAACTGAAATTAAAGAACAAAAACGGTAAAATCAATGTGATAGGTATGTCATAGTATATACGTGTAATTGTTTTGCGATCTGTTGATTTGAATATAGTTTATTTAAACTAATCAAGGATTGTCTAAGGGTAAAATATCAGCGACAAAGGAAGTTTAGTAAGAATACTCAATATTAAACGTGATCAAGTATAGTGTTGTTATACTCTCAATAATGGAGTTAGATATAGCTGCTGGTGTATGGTTTTCAAAGGGAATACTAAGGTCATGGTTTTATTAATTTGAGTATAAGTGGAAGATACAGATTGTATAGAGTTACGGGTTATGTGTGAGATTTCTAATCTGATATTGATTAAAAGCCTGTTACTGGTCATGAAAACACCACTGAAAAGATTAGCGATAGTTTATAATCATTTATAAATGAGTTAATATACAAGGCGCAGGAGATATCAGCATTTTAAGGTGCTCTAAAGCGCATATTGATAATCATTACTAAGATTTATACTTTTGAACTACAATCAAGTATTGGATGCTATTTACTGATGACTTTAAACTTATAGGTTTTATGATTTGGATAAATTAGGTTAGTTTCTTGCCATACTTTACTGACATATATAAACCATTAAGCTTAATAGTCGTGTATGCTTTCACAAGTGTACTGGGATTTAAGTATGAGCTATGAATTTAATAAAATATGTCCAGTGTATTTATGAAGCTATTGCTCGAGAATTTTTCTTATTTTGGACATCTTAAGAGATTTCACTGGAAGTCCCAGTCTACACATTATTAGATCCGATATGGACTAGATTTTGTAACGAAAAAAGGCTATTGGAGGCTTTGATAGTAATAGTAGCAGCACAGGTAATCATTTTATGGTTACTACATCAAAGTTTTTTATTAACTTGTACAGATAATGGGATAATATCTCGACAGAAAACTAGGTGGAGGATTTTTTTATGTCTTGCTAGTGCATACACCTACTGAGATCAGTACTTGACGTCTAGTATTGCTAAGATTTCTTCATTACATGACTGACCTCTGTGAGTAGTCCAATCTACTTCAGGGTATCTAACGTCTCCTGTTATGGCTTTCGCTTTAAAAATATGATCGTCATTTGTCTGGAGATCTATATACACAAAATCAGAGTAGACTATAAATCGATGTGTTCATTGAGAACCAAATCGACGACGGCAAACAGTTGAGAACATCTTCAACTTAATTATCTACTATACAATCAAGAACATATTAAATAAATACTTTCACTTTTATTCTATCTATTAAATCTATGTAGAATGTAGTTCTGAATCTTTAATTATGGATTAAAAACTTATAAAGAGTACACTGATCTCTTTTTTAAAAAATTTCTCTACAGGATATCCTTCCAATTACATTTACATTCGAAATACCTTATTTAAACAATGAAAATTTACTTATAAATCAAAATTCACTGGTTATTCATCAAATTCAAAATGTTTATGGTGTTGAAATTACATTTCGTAATCACTATAAATTAACACCTTATAGTAAGACAACTGTTAGTGTTAAAGGATTAACAATCAATGCAAAAAAAACTAAAAGTGTTGTACATATGTTAATTAAGAGATACTTTACTCAGAATATGGTAAGTGTTCTTTCTATCATTGTAAGTCATTATGATTATTTTGAACTCTTTGAAGTACATATATTTAATAAATTTATGCACTTGAAAGTAATTTAAAGTCCAATGAAAAAGTAGAAGACAATTAAGTCATAACAGAATTTAAAACTGTATTTTTTAGACTAGTAAGAAAAAGGGGTAATACAACAAGATATTGTTTCTGTTCCGTTATGTTTATTAAGCGAGACTCTAATTTATGGATAACCTTGGCTAATATTAGCCAATCAGCAAACAGCAAGTATAGAGTAAAAATATATTATAAAAAACCAAGGAAATAATGTAGACATACTTCTTGTAAGCGGTTCAAAAACTTGTCAAGGTTAGAAAGAGGTTCTGAAATCGTAATGTATACAGTAGAGGAAATCATCCATACTGCTATGGAATAGTTGGCCTCTGAGGCCTCTTTCAGCCTCGACCACATAGCTTCAATATTGTTTATGTGCACTCCGGTTGTTGAGTACACAAAGCGCCAATTATGGACAATGACACGATGCACATAAACAAGCCTATGTAGGAGTCTGTACACTCTCCAAACATCTGTATATATTGTAGTACCTGACTGCGGCCAGTGTTACTGGTGCCTTTATTATCCAGTTCGCGATAATTGTCATAATTTGCCTTAGTTAGGAATTATATAACATCACTAAACATAATAAGTGGAAAGTACAAATTGGTAGTGTGATGACAAGTTTACTAGTTGTAATAAGAATAACAAAGGCTTAAATCAATATTATATAATAGGAAATAGGTCAATGATTAGAAAAATATAGACTCTGCAATAACATTCATAAAATTATAAGATTACGTAATAAGTGTTCGGATAATTGAACCGTGAAGCGTATATTTGAGAAAAGAAAAGGGTGGGAGGGGTGAAGAAGAACAAACGAAGAAAGAGTATGGAAAATAATAAAATCATTTGTAAAGGCTAAGGGTGAGATGAAGGTGTTACTATTTTTTTATGAACACAAAGACATTATTATTATTAGCTTTATTCAATAATATAATATATTTGGTACAATATAGAATTCTCAGCACAAAGTATTTCAACGAGTTTCCGTTTTTTATTTCTTAATCGATATTGCCGATAAATTGATCACCAGTTAGATGTTTGTAGTCAGAAGTCATCTGAATAATATTCATTCTTTTCAATCCACATTGCCAGCCATCACGATGTATCCGATTGTAAATTTTTGTAATTTGTACAGCGAAGTTTAAACTTTTCACAAACGCACCTAAATAGGTTATGCAATTAATTGATATAATGATTTGTTATAACAAACAAGGAAACAGAGAGTTTGTTGAAATATCTAATTGACAGAGACAGGTAGCCCAGACATTCAAGTAGGCCTCCCGAGTTAGATTTTTAGCTCGAATTTCTATAGCTTCTGTTATGTATACGAGACGAGATCGAAACCCATAAGGAAAATTATTAGGAATACGATAAATAACTTTAAGTGACCTATTTCTGTCTACTAGACGACTGCTATCGGTCATGGGTAATAGAACCGAGTTGCATATTGTCTTAATAGTACCCTTTTCTAATCACAAACGGAAGTGTTCATTAACTCTTCAGCTTAATTGTCTAGTAGTGTGCTCAATATAGCTTTCTCCACAGAAGCAATTTATGTATGTTATTTTGAATTTAAAATTGTTAAATTTAAATTTGGATAAAGGATAGAGTGGTGGTGGTTCGTCAATTTAAGAAAGCTGTAGGAATAGTTACTAAGTAAATTGATTGAATCAATTTAAAGTTTGAAGACTGAAAGAAATTTTATTTAGCTTGTTACAATTATTATTTAAAAATGAAGAACATTTGAGTGAACGATTGTTTTCAATAACTTCATCATCAGGCTCTACAGTTATAAGTCCAATAATTATAATATTTTACAAAGGCATGTATTAATGAATTTGACAATGTTATGTGTTAAAAATGATACACTAATCATATGTGACGAAAATATCGACAAACAGAAGATGTTGGACTCTTTCAATAATGTCCACCCAGCCATTAAATTCACCAGCGAGGAGGAGAAAGACAATAGTATAGCTTTTCTGGATGTCCTACTTTCTAGAACGCCAGAGAGTTCCATAAAGCGAAATATATTTGGAAAGAGTACATGGACGGGTCAGTATACTCATTTCCAAAGCTTCACACCAATTCAATATAAAATAAATTTAGTTAAATGTCTCAACCACAGAATCAAGTTATTATGTTCTGAAGACAGTGTGGATGGCGAAATAGATATACTAAAAAACACATTACGAAATAATGGCTATCCAGATAATTTCGTTGAAAACTACCTTGTAGAAAGTACCAAAAAAAGAGGAAATTGTAACACAGTCAGTAAAAAAACTCTATATCTGAGACTAGACTTTAAAGGGGACATAGCGAGTGATATTTTAACACGTCGACCACACACCGCCAAGCTACACATAATGTTCTCAACTAGACCAGTATTCACAAAACTAATCAAGGATAGGTTACCAAAGATGGGCTACTCCATGTGTGTATATCAATTCAACTGCTCCTGTGGAGCTAGTTACATAGGCCGTACTCAGAGGGCTTTATCCTTGTGTGTTCGTGAACATGTGCCAGCGCGGTTGGGAAAAGGCGTTACCAAATCGATTAACAGCACTATTCTTTCTCACTTGGTAGATATTGAACATCATATCAAAATAGAGGAAGCTTTCTCTGTTTTATATCAAGTTCCAAAATATCTACCTCAAGGAGCTAGATTACGTCTACTTTACATAGCCGAAGCCATCTGGATCAACTCCAGAAAACCAAACTTATGTATCCAGAAAAAAGTATATCCAGCCTCTATGTTTACTTTGGCCTATGACTGGATCACCGAATACCTAGACTGAATATTATAAACCTTTTACCCTCTTTCTTTTTTCCGTATTATTATCATTTCTTGATCACCTCTCTCTTAATCGTCACATCCATCATTCCCAATTCGTTTATCATAATTACCTTGATAACACCCTCCTTATTACATATTATATTCACACATAAATATTATTATGATCTCAATTTACAAGATTAAATTCGAAATATTCCCATAATGTAAATTTAAAACAACATATATAAGCGAACAATATTGTTTTCGATTAGATCCTCATCAGGCTTTACTCTAATATACAGTAATATTTATATGCATAAACGAAATTATTAAACCAATCAAGGCAGTTTATAAATCAATGATAACGATGAATAAAACGATTACATAATATGTGAAAAGTACAAATTGATAGTATGATGACAGGTGTACTAGTTTTTATAAGAATAATAAAGGCTCAAATCAATGTTACATAATCGGAAATAGGTCAATGATTAGAAAAACTATAGATAGTGAGGATCTAATCGAAAACAATATTGTTCGCTTATATATGTTGTTACAAGATTAAATTCCCCTACTATGGATTTTATTCACACAATTTTTTTGCATCTTCATTTTTGCTATAATACTATTCTACTTATTGTGACTGGACACTTTACTCTAAATCATCCTGACCTTTATTGAATGACCTTTCTAATTTGCAAATAATACAATTTTGAAAGATATATATATCGTAACAGATGCAAACGTTCACCATTTTTAACACATAACATTGTCAAATTTGATTAATACATGCCTTATTTTTGGCCTTTGTAAAATATCACAATAATTATAGACTTATAACTGTATAGAGCCTGATGATGAAGTTATTGAAAACAATTATTTGCTTAAATATTCTTCAGGTTTGAATATGCTATGGGGATTTTTAAATTGCTGGAATTATTATTTAATTTTAATAATCATTTCCTTAATGATATTTTATAATTAATTTTATATAATAATCTTTTTTTTAAAAAAAGGATTTTATACCAGTAAATATGTATATAAGCATGGATACAAAATATTCTTCAATGTTAAATAATCAAATTTCATCAGATAATTTAATTAAATTAATTTATGAAACAACTAGTGCAAATATTAATTTTATTACTTCTAATACTTCAATTAACAATTCCTATTTATCATCTACATCATTATCAAAAACAAATTTATCACATAATCAATTAAATTCTATGGATGATTTTTCTAACTTTTCAAATATAAAACACAATTTAATATTGAGTAAATTAAATTTAAACAGTCATTTATTAAATCAATATATCAATAGAAAATCAAATTATATTCATATATCTGGTAATGTAGACAATGTGTTTTTAGCCAGACAATTGATAACAGTAAGTAATAATAAATATTATTGGAGTAATTATTGTTATTATAAAAATTATTTACTAAGATGATTTCTAAAGAATAATTGGTCTAGAAGTTAAGAATTCGCGAGCGTGATCGATAGGTCTTGGGTTTGACTTACGCGAGATGGGATCAATGATGCACACTGTTGAGGAGTTCCACAATAGGACGAAATGGCCGTCCGATGGTCCCAAGTTTTTCATGGTGATCTAATTTCAATTTACTCACGATTTCAACTACTGAAATAAATTATAATTTAAAAGTTAATTTATAATTTAGGGTTATTTAGATGAATTAATGAAGACAAACAGGGTTTTGGAAAGTTGGATTTTTATTTTTGTTCTAGCAGTTCTAAATTACAAATTCACTGTGGTTGGAAATGTGAATAAGTGAATTTCAACTTGATTATCTGAGGATATCGTTATTAATTTTAATCTTACATTGAATTGTGGTTCAACTAGCTAAAAAATTACGAAATAGAACAAAATAGTTTTTTAGTGATTTTTAGTTGTTTGGTTTTTTTGAGCTTGGTTTCTAAAAAAATTCAGTTAATGATGAAAATCACTTTTAAGTAACAACATACTGGATAAGGAAATAAATTTTTTCAAAAAAGTAAATTTTTGAAAAAGGTACTTTGAAATTATTTTGTTCATATTGCCTCTTTTATGCCCTTGATAATCAGGAACCATTGTAATAACAACGATAAAATGTAAAAACACGAAGAATATCATTGTCATAGTAGCTGAAAGTTTATACCTGTCGTACTGAATGAAATTCACACTTGGTTAGTGGAAACATATTAATCTGAAATAATGTTACGCTGGAGTATATAAAATGAACAAGTTACTAGGTAAAATGTTATGCAAAGAATCAAAACGAATGTTAACATTTCACACTGGAAATCAAATTAATTTCATTGAATTAGAGAAAACATGAACTCGACTTTTCGAGTATTTTTGAACTAATAAAGTTTTAAGACTATTTATTTAAGTAATTGGATTGATAGTTAGATATAATAATTAAGACCATAGGTTTATTATTCAAAACAATAAAATAGTCTTTTTAAAAATATAATATAAAAATGACAATTGTAATCGACTATGAAACAAGAGAAACAAATTATTTACATAATTTAATTGCTGTTGCCACATTGTATTGAGCAAAAGGGATGCAATCTAAATTACATACTTACTTACTCCTGTTGGCCCTCATGAAGCATAAGCCGCCCACCAGTATTCTCCATCCAACTTTTTTCTAGATAGTCCTTTCCAGTTGATATTGATCCTTCTCATATCTACATGCCATTCCCGACGTAGTGTGTTATTCAAACTTCCTCTTTTCCGTGTCCATTCAGGATTCCAAGTAAAGTTTACTATCTGAATACTAACACTATATTGTTAAAACAGATAATGTAAATGATAATCAGTAGTTGTGAGAGACTTCCGTCCTTTGGATAGATATATGTTTGAGTAATTTGACCTGTGGATCACCTATCAAATATTTTTTTAGCCTTCACTTTCCAAAATGATATATATATATATATATATATATATATATATATATATATTTAAATGTATGAATATCATATTTTACCATTCATAGAATTTATTACCTGTTGTATTAATATTCGACGTGGATATACTACAAGGTGAATGGCTTGAAAATTTGAATCTCACTAATTTATGCAAATATTATGAAGTGAATTTAACTATTCGAAATAAGCCAAAATATTTGGTCAAGGTAAATTATGACTACATTTTTTAAACTTGGACTGTTTCATCAAATTATTATTATTATTATTATTATTATTATTATTATTATTATTGTATACCAATTATATCACAATGAAAACAGGACAAATTTATAACTTCATTTCAATCTATGTGCTGAAGATGATCATAAAATTGACTATCAATCTCTTCACTATACATATGAATGTAAACAAAAACTGAAACTTACTTCACATCATTCGATAAATATAACCTTTATTCATCATCATACCACAGACAAATCACTTGGATTGATTTTATTTCATGTCCCTGAAAATCTATAGTTAAATTTTTTTTGTTATATTGAAATTAACGAACAATAGATTCAAATCCCACCGAAACAATGAAAATATGTATTTTCTAAAATGATGGCTTAGTGATTAATACATTCGGATTTCAAGCAGTAAGTCACAGATTCGATTCTCACTCTGTCTAATTTGGTTTGAACATCCTGATAGCATGGCTACTACTCACACAAACGAGTAAACAAACCTGTATTTCATATATATAGGTTATCTAATCATTGTTCAGCCAATCATATCTGGTCCAAACGTTGGAGAAAATCTGCTATACCATGAAATAAAAAGAGTAATGTGGATTAGAACGATAAAGGTGAAATCACTAAGTTAAACTATTAAATTGATAGGAATATAGACTAAAAAAGAACAGTTTTGATTTGATAATAAGTCGACACAGAAAATAATCAGTCAGTCAGCTACAACGTAGGAACAGGCACGTATATGGATCGGTCGAAGTTGCCAAAACAGGAGGATGTGTATTTATACACAGTAGTTATTTTCAAAAGAATTTCCTATGCATTATGTAGAATAACTCCCACTACTCTCGTGAATTTAGTTGAACAGACCATTTTTAGGGCATCTAAACTTGTAATGCTTATGAATCAAGTGTCATTATATATTAATGAGCATTTTCTACCATAAATCTCTCCCCCCTCCACTAAAATACAGAAAACTAAACGACAAGACTTGAGATCTCTTTTAAAAAAACTAAGTCGAACTAACAACCTCATCTTTGTTCAGTTTCTAGTCACTGATTCTTAAAATAACTAATTACCTCTTGACTTTTTTATTTCTATTCTTTCTCACCAGACAGCTTTATTTCATGTATTTCATATCGGACCTCATATTTTAGACGCCTATCTGTGTAATATCTCTGTCATTCATCACTTCAAAAGGTCTGTACTGGACTGATAATATATATTTAGATAGACTGGTTTCGGTGAGGCTTCGTTACTTTAAATAAATAATATATTTGTAATATCCCAATGAGTAGAAAAATTAGATTTTCTGACGTTTCGTGACTTATTGTAAGCCATATCTTCAGAGAATAAATAACCAAATTAAAATTAATCCAAGTTTAAATAGTACAACGAAACAATAAGAATAATATGTGATCTATCAAAAAACAGGTCTGAACAAGTTAATGTCATGTCATTTCGGTCAAGGTGATTCATAAGTGACATGTATTAAAATTTGTGTGTATGTATGTGTGCACTGCTTAAGGACGACATTTTTGGTGAGAAAGGATAGAGTTCAATTTGTAAGATGATAGTGTGAATTGTAAATAAAACCAGACTATGTGGCTAGGATAGATTAATTTTAATCTGGTTATTTATTCTCTGAAGGTGCGGCTTACAATAAGTCACGAAACGTCAGAAAATCTAATCCTTCTACTCATTGGGACATTACAAATATATTATTTATTTATAACAATCTGCCCAATGCTCAATTCATTCAAAATTATCACATCAAACCTTGTTAATGATACCTACTTCATTACTTTAGTTTAAATTTACAGTTGCACTTTAAATACCAGACTATTGGTCGACCTATTTTCGTGTTGCTTTAGAAGTCTATCTAGTAACTAGTACTACATTCTTCCAATAATCAATATAAATTTTATGGAATACTAGTGTCAACAGTAAATAAGTTTCATGAATTTTGTTGATAAAGTTCTCAAACAGTAGTAGTATGAAAGAACTAATAAAAAGACAGTGTAAATATTATATATATATATATATATATATATATATATATATATATATATATATATATATATATATATATATATATATATATATATATATAATGTATTAACGTTTGAGTTTCCAATCTACGATAAACAGCGATAAGTAGAAAAGAATACGGTAATACTATTAATGAGCGAGCTTTGCCAAATCTTTGTCAATGCATATTGTTATTTAACACCGATATTGACAGTCAGTTATCTGCAACGTAGGACCAGGCACATATATGCATCGATCCAAGTTGCCATGCTGCATTAGCACAACAAGATGAACACTAAATTCATAGAAGTAGTCACATCAAAGGTACTAGTATATAAAAGAAGGATTGTGTATAAGGAGATAGTAGAGGAAGAAAGAATTAGTTGGTAGAAAGAAAGATTTGAAGTGATTTCAATCTCTTAGTTTAAAGGAAGACAGAGAGTGTATACACCTACGCTATTGTGATCGATTCTGAGCCATGTCACCAAGAGTCTCCAACCATTGGTTACGATAGTCACGCGCACCCCAACCAGGTAGTCTGTATATACCAACATGGCTCAGACCAGAAGTTAGTGACTTCAAGCACTGATGCCACGTTTCGGTTTGGCCGCCTCTAACTTTCTTCCAGTCATCCCTAACACCGGTTACCATTGCGCGTCGCGGTAATCGGTGTTCAGGCATACGCAGCACGTGGCCCAACCATCTCAGTCGATGAAGGTTCATAACCTCATCAACTGATTTACCATCATTCCCTAATACCCTGCGTCTAACCTTACTATTACTTACCCGGTGATCCCAGCAGATACCCGCAATATTTCTAAGGCACCTGTGGTCAGATACTAGTAACTTACGAATATCTTCTACTCTTAAAGGCCATGTTTCGCAGCCGTATAGTAGAACGGAACGAACCGCCGCGCAGTATACTCGTCCCTTAATTGATAGACGAATATCTCACCTTCACCATAGATGACGTAAGTTGGCAAAGGCCAAACGAGCATTCTGAATCCGTGGAGAGATTTCGTCAGACGCCAACCCATTAGGGCATACTTAACACGTGGCCCGACACAGAAAATAATAATCAGTTAAATATCTATCATGGTGGTCATGTTCTACTGTAACTATTACAGTTGCAAACTTTGGAGACTAGAAATGATATGGAAGTAGGTTGGTGTTATATTACAAGCTGACTAAAGGAGAAAGTGTAAAACATCGTATGTTATTCTAGTGGCTCGAAAATATTATGTTTTTCATTTGATACCGAGTTAATCGTGTGTTTGGACTGATAGGAAGTGTCAAACTAGGATGAAAACAACATACGAATGTTTCCTACATTTTATTCATTACATTTTAATGTATGTAATTGGTGTAAGTAAGAGAGACAATAAATTCATCATTTTACCTTGTCAATATTGTTCTGATTGAGTTCTTCAAATTAACGGAAGTTTGAGAACATAGCGTAAAACATTCAGAAGTGAAAAAGTATATGCTTAAGATGACTGAGTCATTTATTATCGAAGATGTGAATGTTGAAATTCCAATGTTTATGATTCATCATTTTAGTCTGTTGTAATCAAGACGAGAGAGAAAAATATTCGTTCACTTTATATAATGTGGGAATTGATACAAGAGTTACTTTTACAGTTTAGTAAGTCTGTTAATATCATTATTATTATTATAAACTATTTTATGCACCTGAAAACATAATCCATTTTTTATTCAGTAATATGCTTTCTACTGATGAATCATAACCATAGTACACCATTATCCATGGAACCTTGATATCTACTCTATTCGCCTCTAATTGATGATAAAGAAAGGAAATATAATTATTAATTTAAAAGCGACACTTTAAACTACATCATAATTTATTTTGTGATTAATTCTAGCTTCATATAAATAATTAGAGTATCTGGGAGTACAAATAAAATCTTAGTTACAGTTTCCAGATTCATGAGTATATGAGGCATATTTGATTCATTCTAAAAACGTATTTGCTTTCTTAACACTGAAAAATTTTGCCTTTTGACATTTCCCTTGAGGGTATTTTGTAAAAGTGGCATTCGTCATTAAAGATTTTAGTCGATGGTTTTCAGTTCACGTAGGATGCGATGGAAGCTCTGTTACTTTCCTTTACTTTGTTACATACAAAGAAGACAAACATTTCTTACCAATAATTGAATGATTTTAAACCGACCGCCTTATGGTTAAAATGACTTCATCAATTCGTTAGTAATATTCATATAGTAGTTGACCTAACGTTATGATACTTGAATAGGAATTCTGGAAAATTCGGAAACAACACTGACCTAAAGTAATGGTCATAAATTAGGACTCAATGTATTCTGTAAATAAGACTGCGAAGCCAGAATTGTACCAACGTTTCTTAGACGAATACACCTCTGGCTGTGCGAAGATTAGCCTCAACGGAATAATCATCACCTGATATTAAACAGCTACTTTGATAAGAGGACTTCCTGACTATTTCCGATGGCTAACTAATAAAGCCGATCATGTGATCACGTTCCTGTTAACGGTGGAAATTTACTCCAAATTTTAACGGTCTTGAACATACATTTTCCATGTAGAAAGGTTTATCTCCAGGTAAAAACCTATCCCGTCATTACATTTGGTTAAAACTGTTTCTGGAATATCGTCAACATCATGATTAAACAATAATGATTTGGAACACTAAAGAAAGACTGACGAATGCCATTATTGTTTTTGAGACAATTTTTAAGGTTCAAATAAATTTTTCAGAGATGATTTTGTAGCACAATTTAGTCTAAATAAAATACAAAGCATCCTTGGTGTCAGGAAATAAAACGATGATATGTCTAATAGTGATTGATAAAATAAATGGTTAGATGGCCTGAAAATCAGCTTTCAGACTTTTAACATTGGAGGTAGTGTGATAATAATATATATTTTCGGCTCCAATAGTAGGAACTTGAAATTTCAATAAGTATTACATTTACTGTACATATCTTTTTGAGATGAATCTATTACAAAAAGATCAGACACTCAATTTGTCTAACTTTTGAACAATTCAAGTTACTCTGTTATTAATATTCAACCCAATCTTTCCAGAATCTGAGAATAAAGTAGTAGCATCTTAATTCAAACCCTGATGCTCACGTAATTAGATGAATCGAAATATGTTGGACATAGAACACAGGACAGTGTAGTCCGAATGACTGGAGCAGTAAACCGACTAATGTTCGTCTTAAAATACTTTTACAGCATTCTCGGTAAATATGAAATATAATGTATTCATTTCAAACCTTGGATGTCGCCTCACTAGCTCCAAGATTTTGCTTGTCAGTGGTGGCATAAGTTATAACGACCGAAAGCAACTAATACTTTCATATAAGTAAAATAATCTATGTTTTGTCGTCTTTGTATAAACTACCCAAGAAGTTTAAAGTAGGGAACTGACAAGCTTAAATTCATAGTCTTCAACTAACAGATTGGCATTGATCAAAAGGCTATAGAGAGACAAACTGAAATCCTAGCTAATCAAATAAACCTATAATAGCTCTATTTGTCGTTTTATGATAATTTTATGCCGAATTGTTATACCGACTAGAAACAAGTTATGGTTTGCATAGAATTGGTAGGTCATTCCACAGTCAAGTGATTCGTCATTATGAGTCACTTAAGATACTGTTCTTTTCAGTCAAATTTTTTGGGATTTATTTAAATGTTCTAGCCTGAGTTTGCAAATTGCTTCTAGTAAGAACTCACTCCGGTCGGTAATGCCTGAACTATGGAAATAAAGTAAATGTCAACATCTTACTTACTTACGCCTGTTACTCCCAATGGAACATAGGCCGCCGACCAGCATTCTCCAACCCACTCTGTCCTGGGCCTTCTTTTCTAGTTCCACCCAATTCTTGTTCATTTTTCTCATATCTATCTCCATTTCTCGGCGTAATGTATTCTTTGGTTTTCCTCTCCCCCTTCGACCTTGAGGATTCCATGTGAGGGCTTGTATTGTGACGCAGTTCGGTGCTTTCCTCAATGTGTGTCCTGTCCACTTCCAGCGTTTCTTCCTCCACTGGGATCTGATTTGTTCTCTCCCACAGTAGGTTGTTGCTAATAGTGTCCGGCCAACGGATCTGAAGTCAACATCAGAGGGTGCTTATCCTATCGAGTACAGAGTTTGTGTCCTAAGGGTAATATGTAAGCTTTGACAACTGTAAATGATACAGTGATTATGTCTGTCGAGAAAATTTCGGTTATTAAACTATTTTAATGTGTCTGAACTTGTGTGGAACTTTATTTGCATAAATTAGCGACAAAAACCGCAACTTGACAAGTTAAAGTTTGCATTATCATCCAATTTCTTGCTATTTGAATTACAAACATGTGTACACTTTGTTTTTATTTAGCAAAAAACACCATCTGTAGAATCAATAATCCTAGTTGGTTAAGCTCACAAACTTACAATATTCAAACGCAAAAGTTATGGCTGGGTGATATTCCTAAACAAAATGAGGAATCTACAAAAATTTTATTTTCTACAGATAAGTATGTTTCGTTATTACTTTTCGTCATCATTTATCAAAAGAACTTTATTTAGTTAAAAAAAACTTCAATTCAGTTATAGACAGTTTAGATGAAATTTCAATTGGAAACAATTAACAAATAGATCTAAGCTCAACAAAGCTAGGAAAAGCAAACCGTTAAGATTTAATAAGATGAACAATTAAAACTTCACAACCCATGATTCTTGTGTTTCAAAACAATAAGCGTTTCCTAAAGATAAACACAATCGTTTTTAGCATTCTAATTACAATAGTTTATATTGATTATTTGAATGCCATCATCGATAATCTTGTCACAAATTAATCTGCCAGAATATTTATATAGGAAACGAAAATAAGAAGATTGAACCAATTATCGAATGCCTCTCTAGTATTGAAAATTAAAACCAGTATTACCAAGACAAAAATCATGTAATCATGTACTGTTTTCGAAAATATAAGTCCCGTTTAAAATGTCGTATGATTAGAGTTTCACCGATTTTCTGGCAATTGTTATAAGCTGAGACAAAAGTCCTTTGTGAACAGTTTCCATATTTAGTTTAGCAATGGACGAAGATGGATTTTTACTATATAGTCTTGTCAGATTAGCGGAATTTCTATATGAGATCGCACTTATTTGACTATGGGTTTTACTGTCCTTTTTTGCATACCACGATTACTCTTTCATGCGTATAAGTGTAACACACCAACTTCACTCCTGGAAAGTTTCTTCTCTTCATAGAAAGTCAGATGGAAAACTATGTATTATCAAATAATAGTCTTGTCTTGGCTTGAAAATAGTCAGTGCAATTCGACTAAATCGATAATGACATAGATATCACTAATGATGATTATGGAATATTTCGAATTAGTGAATTATAATTCGATTGATTAAAAACAACACACACACAGCAAGACTTTAATTGGATTCGGCAAGCACAGTCTTCTAGCACACCATGGCTTTCGTTGCTTCACCAAATAATGTGAAACAATAATGAAAATCACAACTTCAAACTAAAAAATCTTCTAAGATCGTTAGCCTTCCACATTCTCATCATATTATTACTTATAATGAACAAAAACATAAATAAAGCGTATGTTACATGTATGTTTCATTATAATAAATTAATTCAGAGGAAACATACTTGGTGACAAAGAAGACAATAAACTAGATAAAGAAGAGACAGTATTAAAATACAAAACATCATTTTCAACAAGTGCATCATCAAGCCCATCGCCATCGTTTTCATTATTTCATCATGATCCATCAGTTAAAGTGAATCTATTAAATAAAAATAATGATTTACGTTTGATGGGTTATGAATCAAATGCAGCACTTTTACATTCGTTTGGACACAATGGTGTATGGAATAAATATGGAGATTTTGAAGAAAATATTGATTTTCATGCAGATAAAAAGTAGGTTAAATTGAAGTGTTTTATTAAGAGTCATATATTTTTCTGAAAGTATAACCACAATAAAGTGCCGACGCAGATATCTCCGTTAAATTATATCATTTGTGACATACGTGATATTTAATTGCATTAAACAATCGATTGTTACACTACGTGTGTTATGATTCTCTCGCTCTTACGGTTTTAACCCAGCTATTCCTATTGCTTAGTATTCACGGACACCAATTCACTCGACAAGTCCACAAATCAGAACACAGTTGAACAGGAAAGAGATTGTATTCCAAATAACAAGGTTAGATGGAAGTGAGAAGCACAAAAGGAAAACCGTTAGTATATTTATAGTTTTTACTTAAGGAGAATCTAGTCTTCTCCATGTATCGACTAGCGCTGATCGGCTAATCCTTATCCAATCAGCGCGCGCCAAAGCAATCGTGCATGGAGCATGCTTAAATCCAATCTATGTCCCACTAACAACGTGGGAATCCAGTTTACAATCTTTTATTGGCGTGAAAAATAAATAGAAGATTGGTAACAGAGGACAGTTACACACAGTTAAGGGATCATGTCTTTAGGATCTGTCTAACATTTGAAGCTCAGTTTTTAAGTTTGGCATGGATAACACATCATTAAAAAAGGTCGACAGAATAGATCATTCATGATTGAGTTGATACTGAAAACAGTATATCGTTTAACCAGAGTAGAAGTACATATTATAACGCTTAATTATTAGCTAAAGCAAATCATTGTAGTAAACACCAAGTCATCGGCCATAGTTTTGACTTTAATGGCTTAGGTCAATGAGGTGCTATGATATGGTTTATAATCAATTGTAATGTTAAGCATATATTCACAAGTATTTTCTACATTATTTATTTGTTCCACGTTTGTATTTTATTTGGTTTTCTCTGCATTAGAACGAAGTTTACTATTTTGAGCAGACAAATAATTTATTAACAGGACAGTTAGACAATTAATCGATTCTAATAGTGATATAACAGGAAGAAAGATATGTTTATCCTTAAATGGAGTTCGTCGTGGTTTTAAACTCGGATGTTAAAAACTACGTTATTGTGTAGCTTTACTGATCAGTTAAACACAATCAACTTAAAATCGAGCAATGAAAGTTAGTAAAAATAATAATTCAGAGTTATATTATTGACTTTTAAATGAAAAGTAAGAGCTTCTACGATATTTTACGAAGACTCTCAAATTGATCTTTAGTAGAGTCACAAGTAAAATATCTTAAAGATCATTACGACAGGAAGTCATTTACTTAACTTACTTTGCAGTAATTTAGGCGCATTTATCGTAACTCCAAGTCATATTCGTAAAATTGATCAGGACATAAAAAGAGGTTAGTTATCTCAAAGTTAAAATTATACTTACAGGGCCTGGTGAATCAAATCGGCGGAAAACTACTTAGTTAAACCTACTACCCATCTTGCAGCACAAGCCACCGACCAGGTATCTCCAAGCTTCTCTTTCTTTTCCGGCCTGACCGTTGTTGTTACCTTGACGTGGTGGTCGGGCTTGCCTATCGTGATGAAGCAACTGAGCTATACTGGCTGGAACAACCGTTCCTCAAGGTCCTACCATGCCAGACAGGTCGGTTGAAGAGCGGTAAGACTAAAAGCAACAAAACCTAGGTCCGAAGGCGAAGTCGTACTGCTGACTGTACAGAGGTGTGACAGCAGTAAGGTGTTTCCTTCAGACAACCAGCATAACAACGATGCTGCCTTCCCAAAAGGAGGGGAGGGTTTAGAAAAGGTCGACCCTAAAAATGCACACCTCGCCTTATTCCATGGATATCCGTCTCCGGCGGTAAGGTCTCAACAAGTACGGAGCTAACAAAAATATTACTCATAAAAAGGTCGTATGTGACCGACCTCAAGCAGCTGTCCCTTGGGCACTGCGGTCACGCTCTCAGGTCACTATGACCAACTCTAATCCAATTTCCTTTTCAGGTACCTCCAGCAGAACCCTTCCACGGTGTGGGCAACCGGGAAGTGATAACCGCCCTCATACCTCTAACAGCACTCAAGACCACTGTATTCATAATCAACCTACCTCTTCAATTCCTATTATTCCTCTTACATCGACTTTCAAATCTAAACTCCCTCTTTTAGCTTCCTCCTCAAGTGTCACCACAGCCAACGATTCTAGTGCGCAAAACACTGTCCCAGGTCTACTGAAACCCCGCTCCAAACTACACATTGGAGCCTTCAACGTACGCACACTATGCCAAATCGGTCAGCAGGCTTCCTTGGCTAAAACCTTACAATCTCGTACGATTGATGTATGCTGTGTCTCCGAAACACGCATACAGGATCCTAGTGTGGTCATTCACTTGACCTCACCTCGGCAAAACGGAGTGCCGACGAGATACACCCTCCGTGTATCTGGGGACCCGATGGCTAGTTCTCGTGGACTTGCAGGTGTAGGCATAGCACTAAGCATGAGGGCGGAACAAGCGCTATTAGAGTGGATCCCCGTTAATAGTCGTCTATGCGCTGTTCGGCTAAACGGCTCCGTAAGAACTCGAAAGGATAGGGACACACGTCGTTGCCTTTTCGTCGTTTCTGCCTACGCTCCCACTGACTGCAGTTCGGATGAAGTGAAAGATGAATTTTACAGAAAGCTGTCTGAACTTCTTCAGAAAGCTAAACGTTCAGACATAGTACTCGTAGCATGCGACTTTAATGCCCAGGTAGGTAGCTTAAACGAAACAGAAAGACATTTAGATGGGTATTTTAGTATTCCGGCACAGAGAACAGATAATAATGATCGTCTGCTGCAACTGTGCTCAGACAATCGTTTATTTTTATCAAACACAAATTTTAAGCATAAGGAGAGACATCGTCTAACATGGCGACCCCCTGCACCAAATCAACGATGGACTCAAATAGACCATATTGCCATCAGTCATCGTTGGAGACGGTTAATAGTAGCTTGTCGCTTATTCTGAAGTACCTGCTTGGACTCCGACCATGCCCTAGTACGAGCACGCATCTGCTTGCGCCTCACTGGACGCAAAAAAGCCACACAAAAAAGACTCATTAGAACCGAATTGAGTAATGAGAAAACCAAAAGTAGGTTCCAGGAACAACTGAGGTCACACTTAGGTAGTTCTGAAAACGAGGCTGACCCCGATGTTGATTGGAAAGACATACAAGCAGCTGTGGAAACAGCAGTGACATCTACTAGTGATTTAAACCACAGGGTTACAAAGAACCAATGGATTTCTTCAAGGTCTATTGCACTGATGGATTCTCGCAAACTCATCCCATCAGGTTCTGAACACGATGAAGAGCGTAAAGAAATCAGATCTAGATTAAGCAAAAGTCTAAAGAATGATCGTGAGCAGTGGTGGGCAACGAAAGCAAAAGAGATGGAAAAGGCGGCGGCTATAGGGAACACAAGACAACTCTACAGACTAATAAAAGAAACTGGAATTAATAAATCAAGTGTAAGTCATACTATTTCGGAAAAAGACGACACTCTCATCTGCTCCCAGTCCAGACGTTTAGAACGATGGGCGGAACATTTTAAGGAGCAATTCAGTTGGCTTTCAGCTACTCTACAACTACCCTCTATTCCCAGACAGTGTGAATGGAACATTGAAGTAGTTCCCCCAACTCTAGCTGAAGTTCAAAAGGCTATAGCTAATCTGAAACGAGGAAGGGCAGCTGGTCCAGACGGATTGGCCCCAGAGGTCTTTAAGGATGGTGGTCTAGTTTTAGCGATTAGGTTGACTAATATTTTAGCTAAAATCTGGGAGTTAGACGTTATCCCATCTAACTGGTCACAATCACTTATCGTCCCAATATTTAAGAAAGGGTCAAAATCATCCTTTGACAACCATAGAGGGATTAGTTTAACTAATATAGCATCTAAAATACTAGCTTCGATAATTTTCGGACGCCTAACTAAGACTCGTGAACTGCAAACACGTGAAAATCAGGCTGGCTTCAGACCTGGTCGTGGCTGCATCGACCACATATTCACCATTCGTCAGGTTCTAGAACACAGGCATACTTATCGGCGTCCGACAATAATGGTCTTCCTTGATTTAAAAGCAGCGTTTGACTCTGTTGACCGAGAGGTTCTGTGGCAGTGTCTGTCATTAAAAGGCGTACCTCAGAAGTATTATTTATGCTCTTGATGTTTGTTTCTTTTTGCTTAGTTATTCTAAGTTAGGACTTGCGTTGTGATTCAATTTGATAGTTTTCTTAATGCGTGTCCTATTCCTAATTTCCTCATCAGCTGGAAGAGGGAATTTTCTCTGCTACAATAGGTTTTCGCTGATGATGTTTAGCTAATACTTGCAGAGTATCACGTGTAAATACTTGTGCACTTTTCGTGATGGTAGTTCTGGATGCTTCATCTTCGTAAAATGGAACTGTTTTAACATAAGTACTAAAAATTCTGACCTTGATCGTGAATGACAATTTTTTAGTTCCAGATATTCAATTGTAGGAATGCTGCATTTGCTTAGCCAATTCGTGCCGTTATATCTGAATTAGATATTCGTTGTTTGTCAGTGATGACTGGCGCTTAACAAGTTGTATTTGGTGATCTTGATTTTTCTCTTGTGTGTGTTAAGGCCCACTGCTGCGGAGGCTGCTGGTTAATTGACTTTCCGACTTTATTCATTGTTATGTGAACAGGTTATTTGCCTGCCAATCCTAAGGCCTCCAGCTACGTCGAAGATAACCGCAATACCCAATGCTTCTCGTGGGATGTGGTGGTCTTCGTAATCCATTTAGCGACAAACGGGAAGACAGAAAAAAAAGTTAGACTAACTCTCATAGGCGAGTCTTTATAATCTTCGTTGCCATCACTAGTGGGTGTATAGAACAAAGATGAAATTCATTATAATACTTTCCTTCTTTGTTTTGAAGGATATTTTGATTACTTAAAACTGTCGGTTTTCCATCTTATAAGTGCTTTCTGTGACACTTTGTATAGCATCAGTGTAACTTCTTGTTTGGGGTTCATTTTCTTCATGAGTACAATATAAAATCTTTCCTGGAGTTAGCCTTTTCTGTTCAGCTTGTGTCCAAATAGTTGCAATTATTCCAAGCACATCTTTTCAATTCTAGGGCTATTTGAAAGAACCAACTTTATTAAGTAACACTGTTTCCGCTAATAACTTTTTGGGAAACTGGTTTATTGACTGCTTCAAGTTTGTGAAATCTTTTATCCTTTCCACTCGTACATAGTTTTATTTAGTTGGATAATTTAACAGTGATAAAAGAGGAAAGCATTTTAATGAATCGTAAAATACTTCTACGAATCCTGACATTGTTAAAGCACCATTATTTTATAAAAAAATAAACCATCTATAACTTTATTATACATAAATGTCATAGGTTTTATTTTTGTAACCATACGTGTTTTTTTTATTTAATTATCATTTGCCGCTAACCTATGATACGTTGGGAACTACTTTTTGTTACATGTGTTAATTTTTGACAAAGTTTTACCAGATTCCGACAAGATTTTGAAATAATGATTGTGAAAGTAATTGAATAACTGGATCTGAACTTCAAAAAGATGTTTTTGTTGAATATGATCTTTGCTATCGAGCATAAATTATTTGTTATAAATATTTACACGAGTAGCATTTAGACAGATCTATGTTGTGATTTTCTAAATTAGTAAGCCATTTTTAACAAGTAACTGCTAGTTTCTATGATAAAGAAAATTGTAGATGCAATCCTGACTTATACTAGCAATTCACTAATTGATCGAGCGAAAATAATATAGCGATTTTATAACTTCTGTTCAAAGTTTATAGTACACCTCATTTTCTGAAATCCTTTATCCAAGAAAATCATGTATCAATTAGTTAACAAAAAGATTCAACCAAGAAAGAGTAGGATCCAAAAGAATATTTAGAAAAAATAAGCGTTAAGCGAAGTTCAAGGGAGGAAAATGGGAAGATAAATGATTTATAGATAATAACAAGTGATCTTCACATTAGTATGAGATATCTCTTCAGCACATCAACCAGTTTGAAGCATAAGTTACTAGAAATAAAGACTTTTTGTGATAAATGAATAAATCTATGGAAAGATAAATCACAAGTAACTTGAATTTTTTTGAGTATTAATATGATAAAATAGCTGGTGGAGTATTTTCAATGAATAAGGATGGAAACGTGGGATAGAAAGTTGTAAGACAAGTGCATCGTTCCGATACTTCAAATTATACTAAGCAGAAAGTTATAAATATATAAAACATTATTTTAATCAAAAATATATTTATAACCACTAATAAACAATTTAATTATTATTTATTTCTCTTTCTGAAAAACAAACAAATAAACAGATTCATTGAAAAAAGTAATGGAAACTGTTAAAAAAAACAAGTTTATCTGTTTACCATTGGTGTTTATATTGTTCTTATGTAGATGACAAA